TACATTGAACCTTATGGGAAAATTTGATTCGGTTCACAACCAATTCAGTTCGCGACCAGAGCCGTGGAACGAATTAAGTTCGTGAACCGAGGTACCACTGTATTATTCATTAAAAAAGCCCACTCTTTTTCAGGCTTTCAAGAAAGAAAGGAAAATTGCAGCTGCTTTACGGAATCAACTCATTTAACTTAATGCAAATCTTAAAGCAGCTGCAACCTTTTTTGGGCTCACTCATAATCCTGAAAAAAAAAATAGGCTTCTTTATTAAATAATAGACAGGGTGCTGAGCTCACAGGGCCTGAAATACTTCCAAATTAATTTTGAAGCAAGCATTGCCCTAATACATGCCATATTCGTGGGGCAATAATATACACAATTTCATATAGTTCAATCTGACTTTTCTTTGTAATTTCTCTGCAAAAGATATAATGGATGTTATTTCATGGCTGAAGTAGCACCAAAGCAGAGATAATTTTTCTGTGCTTTTATTTACCAATTTCTATACTCCCTCAATACCTGGGTAACCCTTAAGGGGCTTAAAATATTAAATCTTTAAATATTCAATTTAATAAAAGTAGTAATTTCCAGAACAGCAAACTGGAATAATGCAAATTGATTCCCATGTCTGAATTGGATCATTCCTTTCTATCAAAATATGCTTTTGTAATTTTAGCAATAATTAAAAGACAATACAACCCCAGGAAATACTAACCCAAACTTCCTAATTCATCTTTATATCTCAGTCCTAGATCAGCCACAGTTCTCCATTAATAGATGACTTTATTGAGCCACAGTACACGAAAACAAACGAAAGTTAAACTTAGTGAATCCCTAACTTTGTTTCGGTCAATATCACCATTATGGATTCAAAATAGATTCTGCATGACCTAGTTGGCATCCAGTTTCAAACATCTAAACAGAAACTCTTGCAAGAGAAAAATTAACCTCTAAAGAGTTATATTTATGCAATTAGGAAAATATCAACTAGGTAGTATGTTTAGGACAACAGTATACATTAAAATATCACATACCACAAACAGTATGTTTTCATTTGTGCTGTAATTATATGAGCAAGTATCATCTAGCATCCTTCTGAAATCATTCAAAGTACTGCAATGCCACTCAGAAAATCTCCTCCTTAGCACAAATTCTTCATCACCAAAACATTATTTCTGCCTACCGTGGAATCCTCCAAATGTGTTGAGATTACTTTTGGCTGTGCTATCTGAGGAATTTTAGGAGTCGTGATCCCAATACAACTGAAGGGTACCAGGTTAGAAAAGTCTGCACTATGATATTATTCAAAAGATCATGGCAATTGATTTTGCTAATACATACAGATTAACCAAATTTGTTCAAGTTATCTTAAATCTTAAAATCTCTTGAAACACTCAGAAACCTATTATTTGGCTGTAAGGTTCTCAGACTGTGCTGCAGGAAATAAGATCAGGCTATAAGAGCAGATAAGACAGGCTCATTCTACTTACAACATCCACACCTCTTGTTTCTATATAAACGATGGCTTGCACAAACATGCTGGTTAAAATGTGGTTGGCTAGTTTGTTGCTTAGCATGTTGCTTGAACCCAATGTCACTATTTTAGCCTTCAACAGGCTGAGCACAGTCAGCTAGATTAATACAACAAACCAAGGTTCAGTAAATCATAGATTACCAATGGGGTGGGCAACTTGGAGTTGATAGGGCCACCTTGAATGATGCAGGGGTTCACTGAAAGGAACATGTTTCATTTCCCAGAGGCCTTTCACTCCCATTAGTTTCAAAACTTTATTCCATTTTATTTAGTAAAGCCTGCAATATTTTTTCTGATTGTTGACAGTCTTAAAAGGTATTCCAACAGTTTTCCAATATATATTGCGTATTTTTTCTATCCATGCGTGACCCAGAAAACTGCCTGAAAGCACATAACAGTTTCTAAAGTTGAGTAGGAATTTTGCCTAGCTAGCTAGATGCATGAACACATGGCATTCCTACTATGTGCCATTTAACTGATCAAGAGCAGAGATAAAAAATGTTTATAAACAGTAAGAAAATGAGGCATAAGAACAGAAACCTTACCAACTGATCTTGATTGAGGACCTCCCCCCTTTTCAGACGATCCCTGTAGTCTTCTAATTTGAGCTGCAAACACAGGTCAAACAAGTATGAACAAGTTTTTCTTCAGACATAGGCCAAGCTTGAACAACACAAACTCTATAATTAATTGCAACCTTCACTGCTACCATGTACTATAACATGCTATTGTATCTAAGGTTAAATGTCAATCTGAAATCTTTAGAAAATATATCTGATATTTAAATACACTGCATTGGGTATTAGTTAAATCAAAAAAGTATTCTTTGTGCCTCATTGCTGCAGTCCAAGCTCTATAAAGGTGATAGGAAACAGAGCTAATATGACCTAGCATTTCTCTGAGCACAGAAAAAGAGTTTTAGGACTGTTGATGAATAAAAATGTTATAACATTAGAAGTACTATCTTGATTTTGAGATAATATATTTATAGTTAAGGGCTATATCCTTTTAATATATTTAAGCTTGAATCTCTTACAGCTGTATTGTAAAGCCATCTTTTAACAGACAGAAAGAAGAGGCACTAATGAAGCATGAAGTTATTTCTAGTCAGGCAGGTTTCATCATAGTGACAGCACTAAAAATTATACAGAAATTCAGTATAACTTAAGACTTACACTTTTTATTACAAGGCACTGTTGTGTAATAAAGGACATAGTATAGTACAGAAATGAATATGTATGCCATATCATGCTTCTCATTCCTCTGTAGCCACAAAGCTATCCTAAAATTACATGTTAAACCCATCTTAAAATTTCTTAAAAACTGGCAAACATCCAAAGGAAACTAACTACACATACACTTATCCAGAGCCAATGAATAAAGCAAATTATGTTTTCATAACCAGTATATATAGATTCCTGCCTCCAAGCACCTTGCTTTCTAAATCTTTAAAGGAAGACAGAGATAGACATTAACAAAGGCAGCTATGTAGCACAAGCAATTACGATTTTATAGTATTATTTCTTGCACTCTGCTGGTATAGAAAAGATACCTACCTTCTTTTTCTCAATATTCCTGATCTTGTGTTTCAAGCAGATAAGTCCATTATCAATGTAAGTCTCATATGCCTGAGAAGCTGTGGCAGCAGAATTCAAAGCTGCCTGCAGGGGGCTCATGGGAGGCTGGTTATCCCCTCGAGGACCCTGGGTCACCTGCTGCTTATCTGGTTTCATACTCTTCTCTTCCCCTTCCTCAGAGTGGCATGAAGGTGAAGGGCGGCGGAGTGGGGACTGTGAAAGCTGCACCATTGAAACGGCTAGGGCTGCAAAGAAACTGGTACTGTTTAGCTGTTCCTTCCTAAGGACATCTTTAAAGCAGCAGCATAAATATGGAAGTGCAATCGAGGAGTAAATCTGCTGCATGCCTTCAGCAGAAAATATACGCTGCAATGCAAGAGATGTTTCCAGAACTTTTAAGGACCAAGCTATTTGCTCCTTTAAATTTAGAATGTATGCATCACTTTAGAATTCTCAAGGATATTAACTATTTCAATTTTAAGGAACTGCAGACTTTACAGCTTCTTAATCAGAGTCCTAAAGAGGAATTCTAGAAGAACCAACACTCTTCACCTGCTTTAATTTCTCCTGACTTGCAGTTATTGCCCTAGTATAGTACTAACAGCTATCCACTAAAAACCATCCTCAACTCTTGCACCAAGCCAAGAACACAATACTGTTTCATATATAGTACAGAATTCAACATCCAAATACCCCTTTCTTTAAAACTCCAAAGAGACATTAAAGCAGTCTTTAAGCACTCATCAAATGCACTAGAAACACAGGACCTAAAATGAAATATCAGTGACAACCTTATCAGGGAGACAGAGAGGGAAGAGAAAGCAGCAAAATCTCTGCCCTTCCTGGCTTCTGGTGACCAAGGGAGCATAGAATAATTACTACTGACTTATCCAGTCAGCACAGAACGCGGCTTCACAGCACTGGCATGGTGGAATAAAGATAAAAGAGAAACAACTTCCAAAGGGGTAGCCCAGTGCTGCAGTAGAAACAGATCTTGGAGTACCTCTGTGTGTGCACGTGTGTGTGTGCACCTGTGTGCAGTACACAGTATACCTATGTGTGTCTATATATATAAAGAAAAATATATGCCTTCAAAGACTATGCTCCCATTTCACAAATGTTACACCACCATCAAATGGAGTGATGAGAGAAGGAGCAAAATATAAACAAATCAGTATTTTTGTTCCTACTTCCCAACAGGAGAAACAAACACAATCCCTTACTCTAACATAAGCCAAGGACTGCAGCTCCACAGCCCCATCCAAAGCCTACCAGTGACTTGGAAGCAAGTCCCCGCGGGGATTCCCAAGCCTGCTCCTAGGTAAGCGCTCCTAAGGAGGAGGAGGAGCAGCAGCCTAATTCCCACCCAGGAAAACGGTGGAGACACAATTCGCAGCCCCCTGCTTTTAAATGCAGGTAAGGGCAAGAGAGAAGCCAGGAAAGTTCCATCCCTGCCAGAGCCGGAAAAGAGGGACCCCGCCAGTGTCCGCAGCCAGCTATGGCAGGGACCAGTGACGAGGCAGCGCTGGGTCATCCTCCGCTCTAAGCCCTCCATGTTGGCGGACCGGAGCTCCCGAGACATCCTTGGTAAAAGTAGAACCGTGACAGGGCTCGTCTCGCTTCCCTCGACATCCTTCGGCCACCAGTAACAGGCGCCCGAAGGCTCCGCTCTCCGCCGGCACCAGCCAGACTGGTCCCTCACGCTCGCCCCACCGACCCGCCCTCCTGCAACTCACCTCAGCAACCAAAGACGCTCAAGCCCACCCGCCCGCTCGCCTCCCCGCTTATAAACCCTACGCCCCCGGAGCGAGGAAAGGGGCGGAGCCTCCGCGGAAGGTCAGCCGACGACTCTCCAATCGCCGCCCAGCTTCGGCCGCCCAGTCCCACCCCGGCAACCGCATGGCCTTCTCCTCAGGCATTCGGGGCCGCCCCACGTGACCGGCCGGACCGTTAACTGGGGGGTGGGCGGGGAAGGCAGCGCGCTCGCGGTTCTAATCCCGCCCAGGGAAATTCGGTGCTGGCTGTTCTTATGCGTCTGTCACGGCTTTAATCGAGGGAAGGGAGGTTACAAAGCGAGATAGATCCGCTCACACCAAGCCAGGTTAAGGACACCACCGTGGGCTGGGTCGACACAGCCCAGCAAACGACGGTTTCCAAAACAGAGCAGCGTGCAGAAGCGATGAGCCAGCAACCCGTATTTCGGCTGCTGCGTGTCCGAATGGGTTACGCGTGGAAGCCGGCGCCGGCAATGCCGCGCGTCTCACGGAAGGAAAGGAAACCACAAATTCGGGGTGCCGCCGAAAAAAAACAGCTGTGGAGAAACTGAAGCCAGCGGGCTTGCTTTTCAGTAAAGCTGGGCTTGCCCTGGAAACGGGCCGCCCTCGCGCCCCTGCCCTTAGTTACTCGGCCAGAGTTACCAACGTAGGGTTCTGTTTCCACCAGACTCAGCAACATTTCCCTCGCCCAGGGCCGCTGCTTTTTTTCTGCTTCAGCATAATGGTGCGATAATCCTGTAATCCTATATTGGTGTAGCCTGAAATAAGGCCCCCTGAATTTAATGGGGTTTACTTAGGAAGAAGTTCAGCTGCCTTTTTAAAGTTGGTTTATGACTGGCAGTTGATTTTAAGTACCTTTCATACTTGTGTAGTCTTTTTTTCCCCATAATCCACACTGAACATTTAAAAAAAAGATGACCAAAGATTGGGGGTGTTCCCCCAGTTTTCTTCTCATTTGTATCTCCATAGTAAGAGTTCTGAAAATGCATTTCTTTATAACATTTTAGGTGGTATTGTACGGTTGTTGCTTAGGTTTTTTTCTGTATAGGAAACTTGAAAGGCAAATTTTGTCTTTAGAGAACATACTCAAAGAATTGTAACGTATTCTTGCCAAGGAACAAGCTGGCAAACTTGCACTTACATCTATATTTGTACAAATATAAAAACAGTTTTTGTATTTGTACAAATGTAAAAATAGTAATTTGTACAAATTTAAGTAGTCACTATAAAGAATATTCAAAAGTATAAGGATTAAGGTTCTAATAATACAAGTGTGTGTGTGTATTCTCCCCAAATACTATTTTCCAGGGCTCATGAATCCATGAAGCAAATACTTGTTTTTTGTAATATTTTTATAATTATAATTAAAAATCAGATTTTATTTTGATATTTTTAAGAATTATCAGTCCATGATCATTTCAGAGGTAGAATTGCTATTAGAGTAATTTACCAGAAAGTAAAAAGCATTAAAATGTGAGGACTTTCTCATTTCAATGTTTTTATGGAATTTAGTTTATTTTTCCCACTCATAGCCCAGGTGAGCATTCTGATTGCTGTAGGAAGACTAAGAATAGTACTATATAGTTCACCTTAAGGAAAAAGCCTGCCATACTTCAGTTTGTACACAGCAACCCATCCCTGGAACAAATACTTACCTAAGAGCCATGGAGTGGTGCCCCAGATGGGAGATGCCAGCTTTTCAGCAAAATATGAAAGTAGAAAGCCACGTTGAACTGCTTCTGTCTAAGTAGTTTCTACCTGCCCAGCCTCCATGGTTTTTACATCTTGGGGAAGCAAGGAGGAAAAGGATGGAGGACTCAGCTGAAAGGAGGAGTTAATAAAAGATTGCCTGCAGGAAGGGAGGAGTTTTCATGTTCAAGAGCTCTACTCGAAGCCCAGTTCCTTGTGGTTGCTAATCTCTACCTCTACTTATTCCAGAAAACCTGAGGTTCTTCAGAAGATGAAGCTCATCAGTGATTTCTCTGAAGATTTGCAATAACCTGAAAGCTAGGTTGGCTAATTGCTGGTTTTTCATTGTAATCTATGGAGAAGGTGTTAGACAATGTAGGTTCTGCCTGGTTGAATAACCTTGCTAAGATGCAGCTGTAGTTTGGTTTAGTGTACTGTGTGAATGAAATTGTGGTTGCAAACTCTGGTTTCTGGTTCAGTAAATTGTGTTATAGTTATTCCATACGTTACTGTTAAAACAACCATGATTTAGCATGATAGGTCCTAATTTACACAGTAGTGAAGTCTAATTGATTTGGATTGTGAATAACAAGCAACACCTGTTGATATTTACTTCTACACAGCTATTAAAGGTGTGGAAATCTTAAATTTTTTTTGCTTCTGGTTCTCTATATAGATTAGAATGTTCGTGAACAGAGTTCTGGCTAATGTTGTTTTTACTAGAATTTTTACTTGACCCAAGATTTTCATTAACAAGAACTTGATGTAAAATAAATACTCTAAGGTAGGGATATAAAACATAGTACCACTGGTTTAATTCTCACCATTATAGATTTGTTTTCAGTACCAGAGTAGAACTCACAATCCTTTTGCAATGCAGAACTATACTCATTTTTCTCTAGACTGCTGTTTCTCAAAGTGTGATCTGAGGACCCCTGGGGGTCCCTCAAGACCCTTTCAGGTTTGTGAAATCAAAATTATTTGTCAGCCTATGTTGAAAAATAATACAATATTAAAATCCTATCAAACAATTGTCAGAAGCAGTAGTGGCAGTGAATGCATCAAATTTAATTTTTAATATGGTAAATATTGATAAATATAACTCATACAAGCAAAAGCTCTTTTGTGATCCTCCATAATTTTTAACTCTGGGAAGGGGTCATGGGAGAAAAAAGTTTAAGAGATACTGTTCTAGACTATTTAATTAGAATTCCTGTTTATCTAGTTTTTATACAGCTTTCTATAATCTGGAGTTTTTTGGGCACGATAGCATGGAAAGATTGTCCTCAAATGTAGAACATTTGAAACTCCCTTTAGTTATATTCCTCTCTTGAATTGATGCCTTAGTGAAAATCTGTTTGCATTTGAAGAGCTACAGAAAAATGCAGCATTCAATGTTTATATGTTGGTGGTGTTTCTCACTGGAATCAGGATCAAATTGAAAATTGTTCTGATTAGTGGCACTGGCTGGCTTACAACATAGTAAAGAACAGTTTATTTATGTAACTCAGTTTGTAAGAAATTTTTTTCATCCTATTTTAAATTGCAACTTTCATTTGTCATTTTCTTCTAAAGAAATATTTCCATTTTGATGTTTGCATGTGTGGGTCCATAGAATACTTTATCAGAATCATAAATGTTCTCTTTCTTATATTTCTGGTTATTTGAAATGTATCAAAAGGAGGGTACTTCCCCCTTTTGTTTATTTTTTTTAAATTGGAGACTTCCTTCCATTCACAAGCATCCTAGAGCAGTGTATGTAAGGTTGTAAACCTACAATAATAATGTAATAATAACATTGTTAGAGAAAAGACAGAACTTTTCATTTAGAAAACAAATTAGTCCTTTAAAATAATCAACAAATGAACATTGAAAGCATCTGAAAAGGATTATTTGCAATCATAATCTAAATTACCTACAAATGCCTCTTCTACATCACATAAAAGAGATTACAATTGCAGTGTTAATCTAAAATAGGATTGGCTAATTTGTGCTTCAGTTTAAATACCAAGGCAATTGATTAAACCCTAGTTAACTTAGCCAAGGGTTAGCAGGTTGTATGACTGCAGCCTTTCCTTCTTGGTTAAAGAACTAAGATTAGCGTATTATCTGTTTTAGTCTTTGGGTTTGCATGATAGTAAACCATAAAAAGGCAGGATAAACATTCATTCATTCAAATATCCCAGTTTTCTGTACTGTAGTTGCATGACACCTTGAACCCTAAACTAACCAGGCAGGCTGGATGTTCCTAAGTAGCTAATATGTTTGGCTAGTTTGCAGTTAAATCTGCTGTGTGAACACAGCTATAGTCTCCTGTTTAACTGAGCCTATAATTATGAGCTTGCTGGGCCTTTGTTTGTAAGAATCTGCTTAATTTAACTGATAATATTGATATTTTATTTTATTTAGTAAATTTGTATGCTTTATCTTTTATTATATGCCAATTTGGTTTTGTTCTAAAATGAAGGAGGAAGAGACAATAGAAAAATAGAATATTTAATACCAATATATCAAATATCTATATAGATATTTTATAGTGTCTAGATTTGCTTCTGCCATAGGATGTTAGGAGTATTTGAAATAATATGCAGGTTATTGGGGGAGACGCAGATAGGATTGTGGTCTTTAATGAAATTCTGTGACTTCCCTTATATTTAATAAAATTATCCCTTGTTACTGCTGCAGCCTTCCAAAAATGTGTCTTAAAGAAGTGGAATAGGGGGTTAGGCTGACTAGAAGTTGTATTTACTTTTTATCTTAAAAGCTTAGTATGGCTACCATATAAGTTAACTACTTCTAACATTGACGGGAAAACACACTAAAATTATACCCCTGTACAATAGTTCTTGAGTCTAAGCTCTGCTAAACTCAGTTGTGTGGTTTTTGTTTTGTTTTTTTAGTAGATTTGTGTGAATATTCATAACCAGGCAGCCATTTGGTTAAGAGAGTTATGAGTTTGAATACAATGGAGATATCGTTGATTGGACTAAAATGATTATAAATTTGTTTTCTGTATCAGGTATTAAGGTTATAATTGAACTTAAGACCAATAATAGAGAAAATTGTGCTAATTTGTGTGTTGACCGTCTTTCTAAGCATCTTACAAATTGCTAATCTATATGGATAGTCATTTTTGTTACTGGGATTAAAATTAATTCGTTTTTGGAGAACCATTGCCCTCTGCATAATTATCACCATTATTTGAATATGTAGAAGTGAAATAAGAATTCTGTACTTTTGTGAAATGGTAGAAAAAAAATTTTTTTTCTCCTATTATAATTTCTTTGAATATCCACAATT